CAGTACACCACCTCCTTATACGTTTATACATTTATACATTTAACATACTGAAATGACATATTCATATATCAAAATAATGAACAGTCTATCTATATCCATTGCACAACCTTCAGATATTAAATCATCAATCCAAAGTATGAAAATGACAACAGAGCTATAAGTTTGTTCCTAATAAGTGAATAACTGCACCCTGTATGTTCCCACTGTAATACCTAACAGATTTGTAAACCTAGCAAACTGTGATTTGCGAAAGGCACAAATCCTACAAGAGTTGTGATTGGCTGAAGACATAAATCCTACAAGAGTTGTGATTGGCTGAAGACATAAATCCTACAAGAGTTGTAATTGGCTGAAAGCATGAATCCTACAAGAGTTGTGATTAGCTGAAGACATAAATCCTACAAGAGTTGTGATTGGCTGAAGGCATAAATCCTACAAGAGTTGTAATTGGCTGAAGGCATAAATCCTACAAGAGTTGTGATTGGCTGAAGGCATAAATCCTACAAGAGTTGTAATTGGCTGAAGGCATAAATCCTACAAGAGTTGTGATTGGCTGAAGGCATAAATCCTACAAGAGTTGTGATTGGCTGAAGGCATAAATCCTACAAGAGTTGTGATTGGCTGAAGGCATAAATCCTACAAGAGTTGTAATTGGCTGAAGGCATAAATCCTACAAGAGTTGTAATTGGCTGAAGGCATAAATGCTACAAGAGTTGTGATTGGCTGAAGGCATAAATCCTACAGGAGTTGTGATTGGCTGAAGGCATAAATCCTACAGGAGTTGTGAATTCTGATTGAACGTAACATAGGATAACAAGCTACATGTATAATGCTACACATAACATCTACAAGTAGCAGCTGTTTGTATGTTTCTATGATAAAGTTGCTATGATTGGTCCTAGGCTAGTTCTCTAACATTAAGCACTGATACAAATGGGACTTATGATTCTACTACAACACCTGACCGTTCTGTGATTGGCAGATGTTTTTTTTCTTTTCAGTTGTGATAAATTCCAGACATTATTACACATGGATATGTGAGAATGACTGAAAGCATAAAAGCATCATAAACATAATATATTCAGATTCCAAATCAACATAACAAGCAACACGTGATGAGCAAAGCCCTGCATTTGTTTTGATTTCGACACTTTTTACCAAAATCTAGACAGCAGTTTCCTTTTATATCCTTTGATAAATGTTTTATAAATGAGAAACTCTAGTGAGATATTCTGTGAGTGTAAATTCCCACATCTAAGCTTGTCTATATGCCTAATTTCGAGTAAATCAAACTTCCTATTACAAAAACTGTTAGCCAGGCTGGATGTTTGTCAAAGGTTTTAATATGTGAAAGATCAAATTACCAAGAGAAAATCCTTCTGATAAATAAATGAGCATAAACAAAGCCTAGTTACCTGGGTGAAAATGGAAGTGTGGGTACATCCAAACTTATATGGGTCTAATTAAGTCTGGACATTTTGATTTTACAACTTGATCTAAATCTGGAAAATAAATTGGAGGGAAGAATTGATTCTAGCTTTCTGTCCAAATATAAAGCTGTATTAATTCAGATAATATTTCTTCAACCTTAAATCCACAGAAATATGTGATTATACATGTGCTTTCCATATTCATAAAAACATTTAATCGCATTTTACATTTTTGCATAAAAGAGATCTTTACAAAAATTAAAAATAGAAATTTTTGAAGTCTGCATCTTATAGGGCTTTTTGGACATTGTGCTAAATCATTATCAGGATGGTAAAACTTTCAAATCCTTAAATTTGTAAATAATTTAAAGTACATTGTATAATGTAAAATCAAATTTTCGTAAGGGATTTATTTTCAATCATTTCATGGGTTCACTATATCCAAAAATTTATATTTTCAACAACTGTTATAATTTGTATAAGTATATTCATTAAGCCTTAATTATCCCAAAATAAAGTGCCCCCAAAATGCTTTTTTTTTTGGGGAAAAATTTTGAGCTCCACAAAAAATATATGATTCCAAAGTACCAGATAGTGTTTTCATGATATATACCAATGATTTCCTTTACAAGTAAGAAGAGTAAAAGAGTGGAGTTTTAACGTATAACAACATGATGATTTCAAAGGCAGTTTGATAAATTACACACGAATATATATATATATATATATATATATATATATATATAAGGTAATACAATGTTTGTCACCTCAGCGCACATGTGGGAATTATCCAATGGAATGCATTTAAATGAACACATGATGGGCAAATCAATATAAACTTAACACATGAGGAAATCAGAGCAGAAAGAAGAGGAGAGCATATCTAATCCATTTCAATACCGTTTTGCAAGGAATAACTTAAAATAGCGTAAACCGTTCTTGAACACAAACTTAAAAACATTTTTTCTGCTATTAGCTGGGTTTCTTTTTCTGAAATAGCACAGTAACAAAACTTAACAAAACTCAAAAAAAAAAAAAACTGCTATGATTATTTGAACACTATTGAAAAAGTTCATCAACAGACTACAGTTCCATAAAAATAGTCAACAAATATTATCATTTCTGCATTTCAACTCAAACTTCAAACTGACATTCCTCCAAAATTCTGCAAACAGCTCAACAGAATATGGGTGACTTCTGTAATCGATGTATACAATCACATCTTACAAAAATATTATCACAGTGATATATAAATATTTGCAATTACGAAACAGAAATATGTGAATACCTGCCATTTTTGTATCAATAAAAAAAATTGGTTCTCCCTCCTCCATTATTGAGACTTATTTTAACTTGTATGTAATTTTTGTGCGACTTGTTACATACTGCCTAATCTAACTCCTATATCTAACCGTGAAATTGCTACTCTACATCTGATAGTATTCTGACAGAAAATCTGAAAACATGTCAGTACGACATTAAGTTGTCCTGACATGGTGTCACATTGGACAGGTTAATTTATCTGTTTTGTCCTGACATGGTGTCAGATTGGACAGGTTAATTTATCTGTTGTGTCCTGACATGGTGTCACATTGGACAGATTAATTTATCTGTTTTGTCCTGACATGGTGTCAGATTGGAGATGTTAATTTATCTGTTGTGTCCTGACATGGTGTCAGATTGGACAGGTTAATTTATCTGTTTTGTCCTGACATGGTGTCACATTGGAGATGTTAATTTATCTGTTTTGTCCTGACATGGTGTCACATTGGAGATGTTAATTTATCTGTTTTGTCCTGACATGGTGTCAGATTGGACAGGTTAATTTATCTGTTTTGTCCTGACATGGTGTCACATTGGAGATGTTAATTTATCTGTTTTGTCCTGACATGGTGTCAGATTGGACAGGTTAATTTATCTGTTTTGTCCTGACATGGTGTCACATTGGAGATGTTAATTTATCTGTTTTGTCCTGACATGGTGTCAGATTGGACAGGTTAATTTATCTGTTTTGTCCTGACATGGTGTCACATTGGAGATGTTAATTTATCTGTTTTGTCCTGACATGGTGTCAGATTGGACAGGTTAATTTATCTGTTTTGTCCTGACATGGTGTCACATTGGAGATGTTAATTTATCTGTTTTGTCCTGACATGGTGTCAGATTGGACAGGTTAATTTATCTGTTTTGTCCTGACATGGTGTCAGATTGGAGATGTTAATTTATCTGTTGTGTCCTGACATGGTGTCAGATTGGAGATGTTAATTTATCTGTTGTGTCCTGACATGGTGTCACATTGGCAAGTTAATTTATCTGTTGTGTCCTGACATGGTGTCACATTGGAGATGTTAATTTATCTGTTGTGTCCTGACATGGTGTCAGATTGGACAGGTTAATTTATCTGTTGTGTCCTGACATGGTGTCAGATTGGACAGGTTAATTTATCTGTTTTGACCTGACATGGTGTCAGATTGGACAGGTTAATTTATCTGTTGTGTCCTGACATGGTGTCAGATTAGGCAGGTAACTGAACCAGATTGTCCTGATAACACATTGGATTACTAGAATTAGCAATTAACATTTGTACAAAAATTATGTAAGCCCACATTATTATTGTTGAAAACATATGGCCAACAAGTTATAAAAGAATATATAAGTACACAAAATATCAATATATCTATAATTGTGATGCTAAAGGTGATGGCACATATTACAAAGGTATAATGGTGATTGTAGTCTCCCTATATATAGGTCTGTTGAAACCACAGATAATACATTGATGGTATTCTCAATTTTTTTAACTATTTTGCGGAAATTCTGAATGAAATAAAAAATTACAGAAAAACTGAGAGAGATAGTAAATGAACAATTAAAGTCGACACAATTTAAATAGCAAATATTTTGGTCAACCTCAACATCATTCTATTTGCTATTAACATCAAGCTGGTGATAATATGATATACAAATCAAGCACCAATGGGTTGAACCAGTTCCATTTTCAATGGAACGAAATGTTTGGAATGACTCATGTCTGCATTAAACGTATGGTAATTCAGATGATATACTCAAATTTGATCTCTACAAAACAAGCTGTACATCAATACAAATATAGTGACTAGTGGTGGCGATATCAGCTTAGCTTAACTGTTTTCAGACCAGGGTTCTACTGTGTCACTCAGAATGACACTTATCTAAGTCAACCAGAACGAGGTTCAACTGTGTCACTCAGAATGACACTTATCTAAGTCAACCAGAACGAGGTTCTACTGTGTTACTCAGAGTGACACTTATCTAAGTCAACCAGAACGAGGTTCAACTGTGTCACTCAGAATGACACTTATCTAAGTCAACCAGAACAAGGTTCAACTGTGTCACTCAGAATGACATTTATCTAAGTCAACCAGAACGAGGTTCAACTGTGTCACTCAGAATGACACTTATCTAAGTCAACCAGAACAAGGTTCAACTGTGTCACTCAGAATGACACTTATCTATAGCTGTCAGAACAAGGTTCTACTGTGTCGCTCAGAATGACACTTATCTAAGTCAACCAGAACGAGGTTCTACTGTGTTACTCAGAATGACACTTATCTATAGCTGTCAGAACAAGGTTCTACTGTTTCACTCAGAATGACACTTATCTTAGTCAACCAGAATGAGGTTCAACTGTGTCACTCAGAATAACACTTATCTAAGTCAACCAGAACGAGGTTCTACTGTGTTACTCAGAATGACACTTATCTATAGCTGTCAGAACAAGGTTCTACTGTTTCACTCAGAATGACACTTATCTAAGTCAACCAGAACGAGGTTCAACTGTGTCACTCAGAATGAGGCTAAAGTTTGTGATTCAGCACATGAAGTATGATACCCTTTCACAGCCGTTTAGGTTTACAAGGTTGTGGATGTAACTGGATGAAGTCCATGTACAAACACAGTTGGTGGAAGGTTCCTAGACAACAACTCTAGCTGTTGTAGAAACTTGTCTCTTTCCGTTTCTCTGGCATCTACGCCTTCAAATTTGTCCTCTGGTGGCGGTCTGGGAAGGTACAAGAATGATACTACAGTACGACTGGAATGTGATATTATCAACTCATTCATTTCCCGTATAAATTGGTTGGGTGCAGAATGAAAATCCTGCATCTGCTCACTGCTCACCTCAGTTTGTTGGGGCAGCATGTGCATGAGGTGGTCCCATGTGACAATTTTGATCTTGGCATAAATACGCAGCTGTTGTAGATAAGCATCTAATTTCTGTTCCTTCTGGAGAGTATTATCTGTCTGGGCATTAAGGCACAAGAACACACGAAGTTGAGTTTTGGCTTTCCATGGTGGAACCATCCTCAAGATGCAGGCAAACTGCAGCATGAAAAGACAAGTGTTGTCAAAGAAGCTTGCAGTGTCTGGTTGAAATAAATTCACAGGCCATACGTCAATATATGATGTGGCTCGAGTGTCTGCAACAACAGTCTTGTTTAGCAAATGAAAATGTCTACATAGAATCACATTTTTCTGTAGCTTCAGAGAATCCTCAATCATCTGTACATACTCTCTTGGTTGTAGGCATTTCTCTTCATGTTCTCCACGTAAGCTAGAAAAAAGACCCTCAAGATTGGAGGAAACTCCATTTTCAACTCCGCCAAGAATGCGTTTCTTTTTATGTGCAAGCCGTCTGGCTAGAGAGTCTATTGGCTTTGACGTATCATAAAATCCAAGACACACAGTGTTGGGCTTCATGCCACCAAGCCCTGCAATTCTCACCAAATGTCTCATACCCTCAACAACAGATGTTGCCATGGTGATCTCTACAAAAGCCTTGATTTTCATACCATCCACTAATGTCATCCAGCGAGTTTGTTCCTCACCAAGAGGGTCAGTGTCATAATCTTCCCAGCTTCCAACCTTCAACATAAATAAACAATTAACATCATGTTACTACATGTTTGCCTGCTGGGATTATTACCCTATCAACAACCAGGGTCGTCATTAAGCTTGATTTCCATGTAATAACTAGTGGTTAGCTCAATGTTTGCCTGCTGGGATTATTACCCTATCAACAACCAGGGTCGTCATTAAGCTTGATTTCCATGTAATAACTGGTGGTTAGCTCAATGTTTGCCTGCTGGGATTATTACCCTATCAACAACCAGGGTCGTCATTAAGCTTGATTTCCATGTAATAACTAGTGGTTAGCTCAATGTTTGCCTGCTGGGATTATTACCCTATCAACAACCAGGGTCGTCATTAAGCTTGATTTCCATGTAATAACTAGTGGTTAGCTCAATGTTTGCCTGCTGGGATTATTACCCTATCAACAACCAGGGTCGTCATTAAGCTTGATTTCCATGTAATAACTAGTGGTTAGCTCAATGTTTGCCTGCTGGGATTATTACCCTATCAACAACCAGGGTCGTCATTAAGCTTGATTTCCATGTAATAACTAGTGGTTAGCTCAATGTTTGCCTGCTGGGATTATTGCCCTATCAACAACCAGGGTCGTCATTAAGCTTGATTTCCATGTAATAACTGGTGGTTAGCTCAATGTTTGCCTGCTGGGTTTATCACCCTATCAACAACCAGGGTCGTCATTAAGCTTGATTTCCATGTAATAACTGGTGGTTAGCTCAATGTTTGCCTGCTGGGTTTATCACCCTATCAACAACCAGGGTCATCATGAAGCTTGATCTCCATGTAATAACTAGTGGTTAGCTCAATGTTTGCCTGCTGGGTTTATCACCCTATCAACAACCAGGGTCATCATGAAGCTTGATCTCCATGTAATAACTAGTGGTTAGCTCAATGTTTGCCTGCTGGGATTATCGCCCTATTAACAACCAGGGTCATCATTAAGCTTGATCTCAATGTAATAACTGGTGGTTAGCTCACTGAACAACATAAAAGAGGCCCATCCCTTGTCCTATATACCATCATGAGAAATTATTGTAAAGTATTTTGTCCAAGCACAAAACCATGCAAGGACAAAACCACATCATTACAAACTCGTCTGTTAATCAGCAATCAGCTTCAAAAGAAAACACTAACCCCCATGTGTATGGTGTGTCACACCACATGTCTCACATCTTAACCAGAGGTTACATTGGCCAATTATACCAACAGTGCTACAACAGTCAGTAACAGCCAATTAAAAACATATTTGGAAACTTTTTAGAATCACCATGATAAAAACATTGCATATTCAAATTCTTCATAAAAAAAAAGATAATTTTTACAGAAATTTCCTGAAAAAGCATGTCAATAATGCTACTCTTTCACACAAACTAATTGATGGCTGAAATCATGAATAAAACAGTTTTCAAATTTCACTACATTACATAGTTATGGAGAATTCAGACAAACATGAAAAATGAGAAAATCAGAAATTGCATAGAAGTTGCAAATTCCCCTTAATTCCAAGCCTTAATGCAGAGGTTCCAGAAACGATTGTCTTAAAAAATTGTTATAATACATAGACCAATACAAAAACATTGTATAGAATGACAGTCTTAGCATGGTAATATCACCAGATTAGTATACAGTATACCTGGTCCCCATCAAATCTATTTTTATAACTGAAACATACCTTTGAAATATACATATATATATATATATATATATATATATATATATATATATATGATCTGATAAAAGTTTTCATTCAATGACAAAGCACACACATAGACAGAGGAATAAAAGACAGGTGTGATAAAACATTATAATTAAATACGATATTATTTTTTTTTGATGAACAACAATGGAGTGGATACCTTTCTTTCACAGGTGCAAAGCATTCTGGGAAATATCAAAATGTTTCCATCCCACTCCATAAAATCAAAACAATCATCCTCTTTATCTTAGCTATTGTTCACTTCAATACTTCTAGAACTTGAAGTTTTCACAACCATGTTAAAATTGAGATCACAAAGTTTGGCTACAGCACTCAAATAACAAGTTAAAACATAAGGACTCAATGCTAGAGTTTCTTTAACTCTTAAATGAGGATTTCAACAGCCTGAATAATATTCTATACTTTCTGAGGAAAGTGTAAGCCCTACTTACCATGTACCTGCTAGAAAATTTTGCGGCTCATATTTTTGTGTTTTTTTTTTTTCTTTCAAAAAATCACTTTTTTGTAGACAATAGATTTTTGGGATAATTACAATTTTATAAATGTACTTATACTAATTATGACAGTTTGTAGACATATGAATTTATAAATTACTAGTAATTGTGAAATCAACTAAAAATAAATCTCCAATAAAATATATAATTATACATTATACAAAACAGGAAAACAGGGATTTTAAATAGTGCAGAGGTTTGAAATTAGCACAAATAGTTATAAACCAGATTACTGCTGAAACTGTTACATTTCAAAAAGAGATGTCAGGAAATATTCAAATATCGGAATATTGGTTCCGTAGGGCAGTATCTGAATAGGAAATTATATTTGAATATTTGTTTTCATAATTGTTATATGTCAATGCTTGGAAGATCATTAAAATTAATCTGTTCACTGTCAGCAAATTATCCAGTTTTCATTCTGAATAGAATTTTGTCAGCTAAACCATCAAAGTACTATTAGTGTATAAAGTTGTACACCTGTATAATTTCTCATTACATTAATTAGCCTATCCAGGTAAGTTTTGTACCTCATGCACATGATACAATAAAGACCAAAGTCTTGTCATGAACATTAGTCTTTACGGATCGTCAGTCAATTAATCTACATTGATTTAGGTTATTTCTCTTGGACATTTATGGGCAGTAATATCCTAATGTTATCTTCCTTCAGACATTTTAATTGCTACTTACGAGAATTCCATGAATAGGGATGAACATGTTGACACATTAAAAGAGAAATTCTTTGCCAATTTTGATAAGAAAGAGTTGTATGACCAAGCAATTTTACTATTAGTTTTCATTCACATTTAGTTCAAATTCACATAGTTCTGAGCCTAACACTTGTAACACAGGCCACCATTCTACCAGATGTGGATTCAGGGCTATTTTTGCAAATACATAAATAAAGAAACAATTTATGTGATGAAGAACTATTACGAAAGGCATACTGACAAAAATCATTTATACATTAAATAACAATTTTGTGTTAAGAGTTTTGAAATATGAGAAGATACATTTGTGTCTTCATATCTTATCATTTCCTGTGTTATATTTTTATGCTATTTTTGTTTTTTTCACTAAGTAAATAGACCTAAATCGTAACCATTTTCAGTATAACTAGTTATGTGTTACTTTCTTTATGTTGAAAATATCTAGTCACTGAACGTGTACGTACTGTTCTGTATTGCTAAAACGTTGTCGTTATTGACATAAAAACGAATATTTGAATACTTAATCAGATGAATAATTGAATCGTAATTTCTATGGAATTGACATCCCTAATTTGAAACATCACAGGAGAAAGACAATATCATCTACAGTCTGTTCTGTACAAACCTTCACGTGGCCAAGAACGTAAAGTCCCCCCTTCTTGATGTCATTGATAAAGTCGATAAGTTCACTAGACTGTCGAGGCTGTGCTACCATGAGGATGATCTGCGGACGCCAGTATTTTACATGACCTTTCCGGGGGTCCAACATCAACAGGTACTTCCTCACCTGTAGTAATGAAGGTAAAAAATGACCACTTACAGGAGTACTCATATAGGTGGGGAAAGTCAGGAAAATACTGAAAAAGGACAGTCAAGAAAGAAATTTTATAGGACGTGGATAGGTGAGTGTCCTAGGGACAAAGTCCAGAGAGTACTCATATAAGTTGGGAGAGTCATATGGGACAAAGTCAGGAGAGTGTCATAGGGGACAAAGTCAGGTGAGTGCTTATTGGGGACAAAGTCAGGAGAGTGTCAAATGGGACAAAGTCAGGAGAGTGTCATAGGGGACAAAGTCAGGTGAGTGTCATATGGGACAAAGTCAGGAGAGTGTCATTGGGGACAAAGTCAGGTGAGTGTCATATGGGACAAAGTCAGGAGAGTGTCATAGGGGACAAAGTCAGGAGAGTGTCATAGGGGACAAAGTCAGGTGAGTGTCATAGGGGACAAAGTCAGGAGAGTGTCATATGGGACAAAGTCAGGAGAGTGCTTATAGGGGACAAAGTCAGGAGAGTGCTTATAGGGGACAAAGTCAGGAGAGTGCTTATAGGGGACAAAGTCAGGTGAGGGTCATAGGGGACACAGTCAGTAGAGTCATAGGGGACAAAGTCAGGTGAGTGTCATAGGGGACAAAGTCAGGAGAGTGTCATATGGGACAAAGTCAGGAGAGTGCTTATAGGGGACAAAGTCAGGAGAGTGCTTATTGGGGAAAAAGTCAGGTGAGTGTCAAATGGGATCCAGGAGACTGTTCATATTAAAGGCCACAGTCAAGAGAATGCTCATAAAGGCCACAGTCAAGAGAATGCTCATACAGACCACAGTCAGGAGAGTGCTCATACAGGCCACAGTCAGGAGAGTGTCATAGGGGACAAAGTCAGGTGAGTGTCAAATGGGATCCAGGAGAATGCTCATACAGGCCACCGTCAGGAGAATGCTCATAAAGGCCACAGTCAGGAGAATGCTCACAGCCACAGTCAGGAGAGTGCTCGTAAAGGCCACAGTCAGGAGAATGCTCAATTAAACCATAGTCAGGAGAGTGCTCATACAGGCCACAGTCAGGAGAGTGTCATAGGGGACAAAGTCAGGTGAGTGTCAAATGGGATCCAGGAGAATGCTCATACAGGCCACCGTCAGGAGAATGCTCATAAAGGCCACAGTCAGGAGAATGCTCATACAGACCACAGTCAGGACAATGCTCATACAGACCACAGTCAGGAGAGTGCTCATAAAGGTCACAGTCAGGAGAATGCTCATAAAGGTCACAGTGAGGAGAGTGCTCATACAGGCCACAGTCAGGAGAGTGCTCGTAAAGGCCACAGTCAGGAGAATGCTCAATTAAGCCATAGTCAGGAGAGTGCTCATACAGGCCACAGTCAGGAGAGTGCTCATACAGGCCACAGGCAGGAGAATGCTCATACAGGCCACCGTCAGGAGAATACTCATATTGGCCACAGTCAGAAGAGTGCTCATACAGGCCACAGTCAGGAGAATGCTCATACAGGCCACAGTCAGGAGAGTGCTCATACAGGCCACAGTCAGGAGAGTGCTAATGAACACCACTGTCAGGAGAGTGCAATGAGAGGGGCTATGATATTTCTAAATCAATTTGATTTTCAAGAGATGCAGCTTCATCACATCTTTAAATGACAGTACAGCAGAGGGAAACAAAATATGCACGTAACATGCCAAAGAATCAAACTGCCATCCAGGAAAACACAACTTCACTCATGGTGATTAAGCTTACCAAGTTTTGAAAACTCCATCAAAAGTTGAGACAGGAGCTCTCCAGACAAGATCAACATCATAAAAAACAACAAGGGGCAACAACTCTTCAAAATACATTTGAATCAAATTGTTATTCAGGAAAACACAATTTCATGTCATGGTAACCAAGTTTGCAAGAAATCTGTTAAAAATTGTGGGAGAAGATCTCCAGACAAATAAAAGTTTATGAGGGATGGACAGACAGTAACAAGGAGTAGTTGGGGAGAGAAATTTTTTACATTTTATGTGTCGGTTGCTATGCATTTCTAAGTCTTAGTCATCCAATTTCCATTTATTATATCACTAAATAAAGCACATGCATACTGAAGTCGTAATGGATGGACAAATGTACAATGCCATACCAGAACATGTCCCACCAAAATTTTTGACAGGCATATGAAAAACATAAATTAGGACTGCATGAATGAATTAACTTTTACAGAATACAATTACACCTCCAATGCTGGAGGTTGAAGTAGAACATCTAAATGCGTCACAATTTCTATAAGTAAATCAATATCAGAAGAACAGAATTTCAGCATAATTTTCTTATTGTTAATATCAATTTCAAATTAATCAAATAGATACAGTTGGTTGACAGCAGTACCTGATGAAATATAAGAGCCTGGCTGATGGAGCCCCACTGTGTGGGTAGGGAGCGGAAATGGAGTAAAATCGTTAACAGCAACATGATGATAATAGCCACTGAAGTGTATATAGGGCTGATCAGGAAACACATCACCATGGATCCCACAAGTCCAGCTCCACAAGTGTACCAGGTAAAGTATTTAAAAGATGGTCTGAGTGAAAAGAAAATGAAGTAAACACTATCGATCAGTATCAAACAAGAAACATTTTGTGTTATTCACAATAGTTCATAATATGGTAAAGACTATTTCATAAAAAATGCTGATTTGAGATATCTAGATATCCCTTCCTAAAAAAGTGCAAAGTAAGCTAAACTGGTGGGTGATGTATAGCATAGTAAGCTAAACTGGTGAGTGATGTATAGCATAGTAAGCTAAACTGGTGGGTGATGTATAGCATAGTAAGCTAAACTGGTGGGTGATGTATAGCATATCTCTTTTAAATGTTCAGTCTGGTGGTTTGTAAATAAATTATATCAGAATATTATGACAATATCAAATAGAGCTACAACAAATATAGTAACCTGTTAATTTACATTAACAACCACTTACGAAAATAGTGCTTCAAAATTAGAATAACTTTTCAACAGAAAATCTAGAGAGTTTGACTTCTACATGGGAACAATGTCATATAATGCCATATTGGATTATCCTATAAAGACTTGTTTTAATGATGTTGACATGCTCTCCCTAGGGGTAATAGAAGGTATGGCACACAGGTAGTGAAATGATGTCCCTTTCTCAACTCATAACAAGGCAAATCAATTTCATAAAGGCTAACAACAGCCTGCACTTCTTGTTGAGATATATATACCTATGAAATTTTATGTTGATGTCTTATGTAGTTTAAGTGTAATGCTCAGGACAAAATTTAAGTATGATAAAATAACAAAGGGCAATAACTCCTAAATTATGCAAAAGAGAACAATGGTTCTTGTGCACTGCACATCTCTTTGTTGAGATTTATCTACCTATGAAGTTTTATGTTGAAACCTTTTATAGCTTTTGTGTTACAGTTCGGACAAAATTATGACAGATGGATGATGAACAGACAGAAAAACAGACAGACAAAGTGGTGACTGTATGCTCTCCCAACAGCTGCAGGTTATCGATTTACTGCCAGATATTACATCCAATTAAGAACAATTCACTCTTATTACAGGATAACAATAAAAGTTCAAGAGACACAGTTTTTATGTAAAGTTTTAAACGAGAGAAAATACCTTCTTTTCCAAATTTTTTCGCCTAGAATTCCAGGTGAAAGAGTGCACAAAAAAGCAATTTTGGTGTGACCATAATGTACTTTTCAATTTTCGATTTAAAGCCCAAATAATATGCTTAATATGAATTTCATGTAGACTCTTTGTGATATGAAACTATTCAAATCATGATACATACCTGAAATTTGGAGCAGATGCTAATTCCAGGGCCAAACATGCTAAGTTGACACCAGCATAGGACAACAGGAAGAATACAGAGGCAGCTGGAGCAATGGCATTGAGTGAGCCAACCAATAAAACAGCCTGTTGAGTATAGTATGATAGCATTTGAATGGCTATGTGTCATACAGGTGTATACCAGAGACATATTTAGTGCCATTCTTGTCTCTGGGAATATAACAAAAATTGTAGCAAGTTACCTCCCTTGGTTTGTTACAGTGTTATAGAAAGTTGTATTGGATGCTATTAGGATTACTACAACTACAGATTATAGCTGTCCAGACAAAATCATTCATAATTGATTTTATAAACACCTCATCTTGTAAGATAAATGTTAATGTGAAAATAAAATCAATCTACAACATAGCTTTCAGAACTCATATGTTAAAGCCATTTTTAGGAGAGAAGCATGGCCCTATTTTTTCGAGTATGTATTCTAAAGTCTTGTAAGACATTTCTGAATCAGGTGCTGTGTGACCAAAAGCTGTACAAAGATATCCATTCTGACACAAATATTACTGGCATTAACGTCGATTCTTTGAAGGTAGGACAACTTCCTTTATCATACAACGGCACAAAACAATTTATTGCAACTTATACTAATCATCGTGTATTAAATCCATCAAATTGACTCATATTCTACTCAAAACTGGAAGGTGTAAAACCTTATACACCTTCCAGGTATGAAAAATTCTAAATACCTGTACTAGGACCCAAGATATCAGGACAGCCACATATGGATTACCTCCCTTTGTAGTAATAGTTGCTGGTTTCAGAAAAACACCTGTGTTTGTAAAGAAATGAATCAGTGATAATGCCAACACCATCATATCATTTCACAAAAGAAAATTTGCTGAGTGTCATACTTATCGTATCTTAACTTTCACACATTTGGCCCTTTCACATATATATATGTATGGAGAAAATAAAAGGTTAAAAATTCCCTCTCATCTTCTTTTTTTGAAAAAAAATCACCTACACACTCATACACTTCTTGCTTCAAAATAGTTGAGGTGAATTAATACTGTTGCAAATTTCTCAACTGTATAAGATTTTGAAGTAAGGAACATATTTTCCAACATCTACAGAAATCTCATAAATTATGATAACAAAATGCAGGATTGTTGGAAAGAATCTTCTTTGTGAAGTGTTTCACTTCAGAAAAGAATTTCTTCATATCAGAAATCATTTTGAGTTTTATCAGATTTCATCAAAATGATATCACTGTCGGATTTGTGTCAGAACTTTGTTTTGTTATCTCACCTTTTCTGAAAACGTAAAGTTCATCTAATTTATCATAGTTACAGGGTCTGTATCACGTTACCTCCCCTTTCCCATACTTGTGCATTCTCATAATGCAAAAATGATCATTTCCATTTTTCACTGTCCTTTTGTAGAAATCTAGTTCATTTCTGCTTAAATATTGAATGAGTGAGATTATCTATAACAGTTATAGCCTAGTTGATATTAAATTTGCCATCGACATGTCAACTCCATCAAATGTAAAGAAATTTCCAATATGGAAAATAAAACTGTCTACTTTAGGTGTAAAAGTAAAAAAAATGAAAAATAATCACACCAAATATATTACACTTTTTCATCACACTTCCACTTCCTGTACACTTTTCATCACACCAACATAAAAATATTCCTTCTTCTTGTACACTTTTTCATCACATTAACATAAAAATATTCCTACTTCTTGTACACTTTTTCATCACACTAACATAAAAATATTCCTACTTCTTGTACACTTTTCATCACACTAACATAAAAATATTCCTACTTCCTGTACACTTTTCATCACATTAACATAAAAAATATTCCTACTTCTTGTACACTTTTCATCACGTACACCTTTTCATCACACATTAACATAAAAAATATTCTTCTTGTACACTTTTCATCACATTAACATAAAAATACCTTTTCACTTTTTCACACTAACATAAAATATTCCTACTTCCCGTACACTTTTCATCACACTTACATAAAAATATTCCTATTTTTTTATCTACTAAATTATGAAATACATAGTCTCTGTTGTCAAGTTAAACTTCATGACATTTAGCACAAAGTGCAGTCATAGTTAAATGACATCATAAAAGACAAGTGGATGGGACCTTATTTTAATTATGGCTCCACTTTGTGTTACACTTGATGAAGCAAATGAGATTTCTATTTTATCTCAGAAGTATAAATACATGATATGTATAACATAACCATCAAGGAATACTCAAAAGAAGCAACGAGTTTTGCTAAAACATCAACAAGTATATGAATGACATTTGTTTGCAATCTCCTAACGATATGTCAGAATTATTCACAGCTTGCAGCACCTACCAAATAACTGATCATTGGCGAGGGCTTCCAGGATTCTGGAGGCACCAATCAAATTACCCAGAGCAGCAGAAAGGGTCGCAGCAAATAAACCAATCAAAATAAATGGTGCCCAAAGATTGATGTCTTGCAGGAAGTTATAGTTGTTTACAAGGAGGAATCTATTAAAACATAATGTTAAGAATCTCAGTAAAATTGTCAGCTAATTCCACAAGAAATGAATGTTATTTGAACAATGTGAAAAATAACATCATAGGTAAAACGTAGATTAAGTTTAAGATTACTATCAGATTTATTTAAGATTACATTAAGTCAGCATCAAATGTAACCTTTTCTAGATTTCAGGCTGGTAGCCTTCAAGGCCTCTTTCAAATCAAATAATCATACCATTAGACAATTGGATGTACAGGAATTTACATTACGTTAGTCATCCTTGATGGAGGCATGAAAAAATTTAACTTTATATTAACTGTTAGAAATATGCACACTGTATTTATCTTTTTTATTTTGCATTTTTGTTAAAAAATTTATCTTTTTACATGTCAGAATTTAAAATAACTAAATATAAACAAAATCTGAAATACCAGAATAAAGCAAGAACGGTTAAAATATTGTTCACCTATCACAAGATGCTCCGATCATCAACACATCGATGAAATATATACTGAATGTGAACATCACAGCACAAATTGTTCCCCGAGGAATGGACTGGCTGGGTTTCTTAAGTTCGCCTGAAAAAACAAGTTCACTGTTACTAAATTCTGCATTGTCTTATGGTTGCCAAATAATCAAAGATACCATTAAGAGAATGGAGAAAGGGTGGTCTTTCATATCCTGGGTACTTTTTCCTTAACAACAATATTCTCGATACAAATTAAACTACCAAAAAAGCACGCTGTTCACTTGAGCTAAATTAAATTACTCATTTGAAAATAAAGTACAAAAAAATGGATGAAGAGGATTCTATTATGTTTAATAAATTTTGCATTGATTTGAACATCTAAGACTAAAAACCAACCTGACATATTGGCCCCGTTAAGGATCCCTGTCACACTGCTGAATAGAATGGCAAACACAGAGGCAAAATTCATCTTATTAAGGGTGTTATAATCCTTGGTATAGTCATCTAAAAAAAACATACCAACGTTCCAATTAAACATACCAATGACAGAGATTAAACATTCAAAAGATACATACAAAAGATGCAGTTCAAACGCACCAAAGATACTGACCTAAAATATAAAAGATGCAGACAGATTTAGTAGCTTTATTATTAATACGAATTATGACAAAGACATGAGGTAGGGGCATCATATTATCAATAATGTATTTCAATGTATGTGGTAAACAAAGGTGACACAAAATTTGGCGACATATTTCTTGAGCTTAAGAACTAAATATAATATCTATTGTATTCCTAACTGGTTCAAAATGTTTCTTTTTTCTTAGTTTAGCTTTTGGACAATCTTTGGATGAGCAGGGACTCTCTCCTTATATGTTCTGTAGATATGATAAACCAACATAGTTATTCTATATCATTCAATGACTAACCATACCTGTGTATTTTATATCTGTATTCCTACTTGTGCAAACAGAGAAAACATACTTTCACAATACAGGTTTATCATCCAATGGTATTTGAGTATATTTCAGTACTTACGCAGTAGATTTTTGTGGAAAGTTTCTGATGAAAGCCCAGTGTATGTTCCAGTGATGTTGTCGAAGGAAGAATTCGCAACTAGACGATTTGTATTAGGAATTTTCACTTCAAATGGAGAACTTTTGGCAAAAATACTGATGAAAACAGACAGTGTGCATAAAATCACCAGCTGAAATAGAAAACATTTACTATAAAAAACAGATCGCAGTTTAAAATTTTAATACTGGGTTTGTCCTAGATGTATTATGAAAATATGAAACAATAAAGATACTAACAGTTATATGTATTCATATTATCAAATCAACTGATTTTACTAATAATAACAGATCTCAAAGTTTTTACGAACAATATCAGCAGTTACTGGTGTTTAGACTTGGTAAGTTTACACCTGCATAAGTTCTACTCATAAATTTCAATGCATGTCCATCTTACGATAATCCAAGGTTATCAATATATCAAATCTGGATGCTGTCCTTTTTATATCTCAAAAAATTTCAATGATTTTTTTTCAAACACTTGTATGTCTTTGATATAATCGTAGCACCTATCTAAGTTAGAGCTGGCATGCTAATTGGTACATAACCTCAAATTAATGACAATTCTATGAAAAATTAAAGGTGGTACATAATACTGACTGTGTGACAAGTCCTTCTGGGGGAGGGAATATCATTGTGATAAAACACTAACTAAGTTATCTCGGTAGAATATCTAGTAATTATCACATCAGCATTACTTAAACCTCCAGGAAAGAACTCATCTTGAATTCTATGATTTCACTCTTAGGTCCAAGGGGTAGCATAGATACTTACAAAAAACAATGTAGAATATTCAATATTCCAAAAGTCCTACACTCCACTAACTTCAAATGGTTTGAAAACTCAATGTTTTTAATTCTTTAACTATTTATTTGTTATGTTTATCGCCCTTTGCTAAGGCCATTTTGAGCCTCTTTATAGTAGCTGACCACTACCTTACTTAACAAACTGTGAAAGAGGTGTCTCATTACAGGGGAACCACATTGCCCAGAGTATGGATTTTCAAACCATACAACTCTTAACCTAAAAACTAACAAGAGTTCCTCGGAACTGTATGTGTCGCCTGCATAAAGTGTCACGGTCACCCAGAAATTGAACTGGATGTACAACTATCAACCAAAAAGTTGAAATACCAAATTTCATTTCTATAACTTGAAGCATAACAAAAGAAAGTCAAGAAAACAATATTCCCAGAGAATTTTCTAAGTTCAAAGGGGCATAACTCTGCCAAAAAGGATCACAGACAGCCGGGAATCAAACTTAATCTGTACCCTTGCAACAAGAAGCCATATGCCAAATTTCATTTTGATAATTCAAAGCATTACCGAAAAAAGTCTGGAAATCTTTTGTATGGACGCCGCCGCCAACGACACGTGATCACGGACAAAGTGATCCCTAAGTGTCCGCCAGCTCTACAGGCGACACAAAAAGTCACTTGACGAAACAGTGTAGATTTTCTCACTTCTCCCCAATGAAAAAAATACAAGTCTAACTCCAAAAGAAGAAACTATGTTATATTGATGAAAAGAGTTTAGCAAATTACAATACTCTTCCGAATGTGAATTATGTGCCAAGAATGCACCCATGCCAAGTAAGAAGTTCCAGTGATAATTAATGTAGATATAGCATCAGCACATACTTTTAATTGATGTAGGTCACAGGTGAAAAAGTAGGTCATAATGACCTTCTTTTGATACATGACACACTGTGTCACCAAGGTGAACCCATGGAGTTCCAGGGACTAGAAGTGTTGGAGATGGAACCCAGACAATTTTTCCTTTGATGCAGGTCAAAGACCAAAACCGAGGGTCAAAGTGACCTACTTTTGATACATGATAAACCATCCTAACAAGATGAATCCATACCCAAAGTATGAAGTTCCAGTGACAAGTAAATATAGTGCAGGAGATAGAGACCGGACAAAATGATAGAAGGACTTAAGGCAAAAATATAGTGTCCTACTGTTTCTAGTAGGGGACTTATAAACATCCTTTTATTACAAAGCAGTGGCAGCACTAACCTTGAAAACACAAAGTAATACTTCATTATCTCTACTACAGAGTAGACTGACCATAATATCCTACCAGAAAGATAAAAGCAGAGGTTTTAGCAAACATGCTACCGCCAATAATGCAGACAATGAGACAGAGGAAAAGAACAATGGTAGCATATAGATATTTCCACCATTGTTCACTGGGATGTGTGGGCAGGCCTGTCTGGTCATCTGTCAGCAGTGTACCTGTAAGTAAAATACATATATAACTACAACTTCCTACTTTCTAAGCATAAAATATTAGTAAATGTACATAGTTAATATCCTTTAATTTCAGTTCTTATCACATGCATCCGGTTTTACTGGATTTCAACCTAATGTAAATATACTGTAGATCTAACAGACCAAGTACAGTGAACTAATATCTTGATATAAAAACCATGTAATGTATAAAAACAGACAAATATCCAAAACAATATTTGAAATAAAATTAAACAACAAAGACAACTGTACCAGGGATGAGAAGGTGTTTAAAGCAAATCATTGACAGGAAAACTGTTCAAGCAATTAAGTTCAATCATGAATCAACACAAGTATCATGCTTGATTGTTCAGAAGAACTTAATACTACTGACCATGAATAGATCAAGAGTTCAAGATCATATCACAAACAACTTGTTATTCTTTCATTTTTGAAAACAGCAAATATGCAGCACATTGATTCACAGCTGAAGTTGGATATTTTTTAGGAAGGAGGTAGGGGGAGAGGAGGGGAAGGGGAATTTTAACTAAAATTTTTTGTCAATAAATTCTACAGCATATTTTAAGAGCAGACTACAGACTACACTGTTAAAGCTTCACTCTGAATATTTACCGTCCAGTTTTGACATGTTACTGCTATTTCCTACTAAGCCGAAGACAAAATCTAATAACTATAAAGTAGGCTATCTGATATCTAAAACGTTTTTCTCTGTTTAAATGTCATAAATAAACTGTTTTCCTTTGCCAGATTACATGTATACATGTTGCCATCCTTGGTACTCAATTTTGTCTGGAAATGTTCCAGGAGTTCAGAGAGTGATAGTGGACATAGCCCGGAGAAACCATCCCATACAAAACACTTACCTCCAGGACCAAAATTTTCCAGCACTCCCTCCACAAAACCACTCACATAGAGGCCTGCTGCAATAACATTGGCAGCGAAAAACAGGAAACCAATGCTGCCACCAAATTCTGGTCCAAGAGCTCGACTAATCATGACTAATTTCAGGTTAAGTAACTTATAGAATTGCATTTTACTTTAATTTCTACTCAACTGTTTGGAAAACTCCTCAAATTTTATAGAAACCTTTCTTTTGAGTTTGAACAAAATTAACAGAGGTGCCATTTTTTTTCCGTTTTAATCTGCACATGTAAGTTTACAAGGCAATAAAAACGGTGTACACTACATTTCTGATAAGTTCTCACATAAAGGGGAGACAAATCACTACCTGATAATACTACAGGACTTTATATCCCAGGTGATTGAATGTCTGTTTATGATACAATGTGTATATCAGTGTATTTACTTCCCTGTCTCCCTTCTAAAATAAATATACAAGGTACTTTTTCAAAAGCTTTCTTCCCTTTTCTGACAGCACATGTGCAGCACATCATCAATATAGTTTTGGTAACAATTTTTCAGAAAAGTTTTAATTTTCTCTATATGCCATTAACATATATGAAAGTAACTCCAGCTATTAACATAGCAACCATACATCAATTGAAATCAGAACAAAACATATATTTCAACTGTAACTAATTTTAAATTTTTCAAGAAAAAAGCAATACTTTTCAATAGTGCCGGGATTTAATTTGCCAAAACTGAACAGAAACTCAGTATCTGAAATATTAAGTTATATAATGTTGTTAACAGTTCAGTGAATTCTCTGGTGATATATGATTTCTAAAAAATGTATAGTGTTACAAAATATGCTTCATTTTGTTTCTTTTGTTATGTTAAAACAACAAAGATGAAATTTATGTTGATCATATACATCTTTCCTTATTCCTAATTAATACCTAGTTAATGTCACGAAAGTTATGATCATGTTGACCCTAATTTTTAACCTTAGTTTAGACCTTGTACAAATATCAGGGGAAAGTTTAATACATTGTGATATATCACTGCTACTTTGATTTTGTCACTGTATCAACTTTCCATTGGAAATTTATTACACAGTGGCCTTAAATCTACATTAGTTACATGACTTTCTGAGAGGAAATTCGAGACTGGATACTTTTCTGTGGTATGAAACGATGATCAAATTTTGACCTTTAGCTAAAAGCAATACCAAAAGTGACTGGATTATCTAAAAATAGAAGGATACAATAGGCCCCTCCTCCTTCAAGAGCACCATTGGTGGAGATTGCACAGATGGACAGAACTGTCATGGCCAGAATAAAGTAAGCAAGCACTAGCTGGGCAATCGACTCCAGGACCCCTGCCTGGCCAACCAAGAAACCTGAAACATGCAACAACATATAAATGTAAATATTTTATATCAAATATTCATTTAATTGTAGCACTTTTTACCCCTGTGATTCTTCATGACCCTTTGTTATTCAGAGAAAGCTATTTTTCAGGGTTAAACATGTATTTGATACTTTCTGACACTGAATGTTATTTGCGGTGTATTTTAAAGGTCTTTACCATCTTTCATCCCAACCTATTACATGCCACTTCAAAACTTCTGGCAAGTGAGTTAAAGATGTTGTTTCACATTCAAATAGCTTTTATCACTCTTTATTTCAGGTTTTATTTCATATTTCTCACATAAACAGGTTCAATCACCAACCCGAATCATTAGCATTGCATTATTATCACAGTTAGTGATAGTGGCTCACAAAATTTCAAACAATAAAATTTTGAAATAGAAACCACATGATCAATATATTGACCTTGCAAAAAAATGGTGTTTGGTATCTTAATAAGAAATTTCCTTTGATGTTTGCACATTGTCCCAGCCTAATGATCACAGGTCTGTTTCCCAGGCTTGGCCATGATGTCAGAACTTTTTCATTACACGCAGTGTTTAGTCTAAATCGTTCCAACATTGTGTTTATCACATACCTTATGTACACGGAATGTGTGCATTAGTGACAGTCAACATGACTCCTTTACCTGGTTCTTAATTTAGAATGATTTTCACAAGACTAGCTCAGTAACACCATACAAGACTTTTAACAATCCCAGGAGCCAGGACTTCAGGAAAATGTCCGTCCTAAATCCAAAAGTCTTGAATTCATTGTTAATCTCAATCCTCTGCTGACAAAGGAATCCTACATATGAAATCCAATTAAGATCTAATAAAAACTCTCTTGTCAGCCTTTTTTTTTTCTTGCTAAGACACAAAAATGAATGGGCACACCGTGGGACCCAGGGGAACATACACATCAAGTTTCAGAAATAGCTTTCCAGTGTCTCTCAAGAAATAGTGATCATAAATTTTTACTATTAAAATACAAGATGGCTGTCTGCCAGCCATATTGCTTCACTAATGGGAATCAAAACTGATTAAACAAAAACTAGGGACAGAGGGGAGCAAACACATAAAGTTAAAGAAATATCCCTACAACTCTTCTCAAGAAATAGTGTTAACAAACTTCTACTGTCAAATTCATGATTGCCACCTGTCACCTATTTTGTTACTCTGATCAGTCTCAAAGTTAAATGAGCTACATTAGTGACCATAGGGAACAAACATAAAAGTTTGAGAAAAATAACTTGGTACTTCTCAAGAAATATTTACATTTGTATAACAAGTATTGTTTATCGATGGATATTAGCTAACTGCCTATGGACAAAGGTCGATTTGAAGATAACTACTATTAATTGATGGTAAGCTAAACATATAATGGTCCAAGATTAATGATTTCAGGAATTTGGCCATGTTGATTTGTTTGTAACAGAACCTGGGTCATTTGGGAACTGCTGTAGTATAGCTGATAGCTGACCTCAATTACAGTCATGCTGGAGATCTACAACATGCTACATGTTTATCCAAATCAAGCTATCATGGTAATGTGTGTCAATATCCAAGGACACAACTTTATCAGCAAAAGACCTTCCTTGGAAACACAAACAACTCTGAGAAGAGATCATTGAATTCTGTCAAATCATACAGATGGTATTTTTTTTAATTTGAGAAAAAAAATGTTGCTATCATTTTCTCAATTTCTGCATGGGTTTCCTTTCCCAAAGTAGCTCTAAATCTTCAACTCTAGCTACATTTTACAATTTCTCTAAGATGCAGTTAAAGTGTTTGAAAAAAATTCAGTTGGCCAAGGAAATGGGGCAAGACTTTTTGCTGACTTCACTGCAAAGTTTTATTGACAAAGGTATATTTTCAACACATGAAGATATCAGTTTTGACTGATAATGTGATGTCATCCAAAACGAGCTTAAGAAAGGCTTCTTACCAAAACAATTGGTCCTCAACCATATCTCCTTAGAATTTTGTTCGCTTCTGTGGTTTGTCAATATCAACCGAAAAATATTGTTCACCATAATTAATTTGTACATAACTGAACCAATATCACTTCAATTCTAACAACTATAAATAGATACACCATATATAACTCAAGTACATGTTTGTTATATGAATGAGAGATCCCTCTTCTGTCACTGACAAAGTGATTTCCCACAGGTTTCAATTAGTGAAATGTAATAATGACCTGACCTGGGAATTTCAATGACGCTAGGTATTTTTGACCAATGAGGACATGAATATGTATAAATCCCCTATTAATCTAAAAATGAAAATGAATAACTGTGCAATGTTCCACTATTATCTTGATTTAAAATGTCTTTCTAAGCAGATTAGCAGACAGGTCTCAAACTGGGGTTTCTAACATAGTCTCCATTCAGTTTGATGTACCCAAGCATTAGTATTGGAACCCAGTCTTTTCCCATTTCAAATCAAATGGTGTTAACTAATCTGTGCGCCTCTTTGTGAAGAAATCTAGATGTTCTTGCAAACTGGGAATTAAATGGAGGATGGCCTTTCATCCTGGTAAGTGTCAAGTCCTTTCAATACACAAAACTTGTAAGTCAACACTCCACCAGTATAGACTACATGGCCAAACACTCGAGCATGTTGATCAGGCCAAATAGCTAGGAGTTACTATTACCTCCAACCTGATGTCAGACCTCCACATTAGTGACATCAATTACTAATAGTGTCTATAATTTTTAGACAAAACTTGCAAATTTCTTCTTCAAATGTGAAGGAAAATGCCTTCAAAGATCCTGTGAGGACTAAACCTGAGTATGTTGGTTTGGTTTGGGATCTACAAAAAAACCTGAAGATGGATGTAGACTAAATTGTGATTGTCACAGAAATATTTTCAGTGTGAGAGTCGTGATCAATGGACTAGAGAGGTGGAGCTTGGCTCAGTGTCGTGATACCCACCTAACTATGCTATATAAGATAACTATTAATAATATAATAGAATAATACAAAATACAACAGCCATTTTTTCTATACTCTTCTGATCTACCCTGGCTATCGGACCCTAACAATAATGTCATCACCTTTCTTTTTAAAGTCTTTCCAGTAAAATCTCTGCTTCGAAAGAAGTACTTCCCAAGAACTACTTTTCTGTAGAATTCCCTCCCTCCTAACTTGGCATCTAGTGCTACTGGCAAATATATGGTATAAGTAGCAGTACATTTTACATGTCAAGCATCATCAGTGTATTGATGACATAACTTATTTATATACAGTGGAACGCACTTAAAGTCACATATGTTAATGTCACCTTCTGGTTAATATCACGCTTTGTTGAAACACCAATTGTTTCATTATATATTATATGTAATACAACATCTGATAATGTCACTTATTTTCAAACTGGGTAATGCTTAATGTAAGAAGGGTAAACACATAACCTTTGACCCAAATTCAGGGGTCAGACTTATTATAGGGCAAGGAAACCCAATTTGTTTATGATTCTACTGAACAGACAAAGACAGGGATGGTCCAGACATGAGCTGATTCATGAATAAACACATTATAGATATCTGTACAATATTGTACCTGGTATCCTGTACATATTTCATCATCTATTTGTGATGTCATAACTTATTGTATACTGATACATATATGTACACATGCAGGGGCGTAGCTTCCATAGAAAGAAAAAGCCCTGGCTTATGCATAAAAAATCTATGCATAGAGTATGTCGGACAAAATTACAAAACTAAGGTTGAAAATAAATATATAATATTTTTGATAAATAAAAAAATATAAATAGAAAATTGTTGAATAACTAGGCCTAGTGCATTGCTTTCCGGAACTTTATACACGTCATACTGTTCTACTTCTTACTATCAATTCAACATTTCCGATTATAATGTTGTTAAAGTACAAATTTTCAAAATGAAGAAGACTTCTGGATTATAGACGTCGATCGACAAGTTTTTCAAACAAAATAAAGTCAAATCGAGTAACCACACTAAAAGTGACACATCAAAGACCGAAGGTATATGTAACCAAGATACGGAAATTGTCATGGACATTTTTTGCGAATCAAAAGAACAGAAAGTTAGCTTTTACTTAGTCAGGGGTTGAAAGTTTGTTGTTAAATAAATAAAGAAAACTGTCTCAGAATACGATTCAAAACATCTATGAAACCATGAAATTCATTTTCCATTGAGGGGCTTCGCCCCCACCCCCGATCCCCCCATCAACCCTGCTCTGGACCCGCTGGGGGCCTAGGCAGCCTCCAGACCCCTCGCCTGGGCTTACACATTTCTGCTGGGCTAGCTACGCCCCTGACATGAACCATCATCATTTCTTAATATCTCATTGAATATTTGTCTTTATACTGTAAGCTGCAAGTCTGACAACATTTCATTGTCGTTTCTAAAGACAAATATATATATAGTCAATTAAAGTAAGTGGTGTTCATTAAGTTCTTCTGAACATATATCCTCTTAATGTAAGTTATCAATTAACAATCACAAGAATGCTGTACATCTGAATAGAAACAAACTTATAACTGAAGTAGAATATAGCATACATGTATAACTGTGATATATCATTATATCTGATCTACCAGCAGTCAGTGCTTGCAATCTTTCACTAGTCCTTTAGTACATATGTACTTATCACACCAATACATGTATAGACTATATCTATACATTGATATAAAAACCCTATCAGTCTGTACTACATGAAATCAACTCATGAAAGTAACCATGACCCATAAGCTTTAGTGCAACCTTGACAATATCTATATAGTACAGTGTAGTGAACACATAGAGAAATGTGAAAATCTACCAAGGTCAATAAGTTTTAGTTTTCATTGATAAAATAAAAGTTATCAATGCCAATATATACTCATCTTGTAAATGATAATTATTATCCTGACAATATATAATATATAAATGTTGTAATGTGGGAACCCAAAGTTTAGATTCAGTAATATCAGGTCTACCTTTTAATTTACTTAAATACAA